ATCTCTCTCACAGTACTTCTTTTTTTTTTTAATGTTTGTATATATTTTATTTTTTAAATTAATTTATTTATTTTGAATGTTCATGAGATACAAAGCTGATTGTCCCCTCTCCTGCCCATGGTGTGGGGGCCAGATTCATATTGAGGGCATACCCATTACCAGAAATTAATTTTGTACCCTTTGTTCCCTTCCAATTATCCCCTAACCGCCCTCCCCTTCCCCCTTTCCCCTCAACTCCAATTTGTAGCCCTAGGAATGTTCCCTCCCTCTGTTAGATCATGGGACTACTGTGGTCCTTCTTTCCTTCCTTCTTTTCTCTCTTAGCTCCCACATATGAGTGAGCACATTAGGTATTTATACCTCTGTGCTTTGCTTGTTTCACTCAACAGAAGTTTCTCCAGGTTCATCCATGTTGTTGCAAATGGGAGTATTTCATTCTTTTTTATGGCACAATAGTTTTCCATGGTGTGTATATACCACAGTTTCCTTACCCAGTCATCTATTAATGGACATTTAGGTTGTTTTTTTATATCTTGGCTATTGTAAACAGAGCTGCAATAAACTTGGGAGTGCAGATATGTCTTCAACATGATGATTTCCATTCCTCTGGATAAATACCCAGAAGAGGGATTGCTAGATTATATGGAAAATCTATCTTTAGTTGTTTGAGAAACCTCCAAATTAAAAAATGGGCAAAGGAGTTGAATAGACATTTTTCAAAGGAAGACATACAAACGGCCAACAGGTACATGAAAAAATGCTCAACATCACTAGTCATCAGGGAAATGCAAATTAAAACCACATTGAGATACCACCTCACTCCAGTTAGACTGGCTATGATCAAAAAGATGGTGAATAACAGATGCTGGCGAGGGTGTGGAGAGAAGGGAACACTACTGCACTGTTGGTAGGAATGTAAATTAGTACAACCACTTTGGAAAACAATTTGGAGGTTTCTCACAGCACTTCTTAAGATACTTAGTAACTGTCAGGTTATGTGCCTTTACCTCACCTCCTGTGAGTCCCTAGAGATCAGAGGCCATGTCTTTTTTACCACTCTATCTCCAACATCTAATACAGTTCCTAGCACATTGTAAGATCATAGGGCTTATTAAATGAGTGATTGAATAAATGAAGGTATTACATCCCCCTCCTCATCTTCATTCCATCATGGTACACACCTTAGCCCACGCATCCTCTGAACTCTTTCTACCTTCCTTCACTCTCTCATCAATAAAAATTTTCTTGCACACTGTCCCATTGGCTCAGGGATGTCACCTTGCAAAGGAGGCGAGGAGTGGTATGTTTTGTTTTCCAGATAACCCCTTTAGCATAAATAACAGCTTGCTCTTCTGTGGCACTTGACAGTTTGCAAACTTTGATAAGTGTGAGCTCCTTACAGCAGCTCTGGAAAGCAGACAAGGTTATTCTTGGTATCCTCAGGAGAGACGTGAGTGTGTTTATGTAGACAACTCAGGTGCCTGCTCTGTCCACAT